AGGATACTTTTTCAGAAGCGCCGTCATTTTCGTCCACCCGTTGGCCACATCTTAATATTAGTTGCTAGGCCGACGCTGCGCGGCCTACGGTGACTACAACGCCTAGAGTCGAGGCTTGTGCTTTCTAAAATTTTCGAGTGCGCATGCTCAAAATTACATCACATAACTTGTATTACTAGTTGAATGAAATGTTTAAAGGTTATCGTTTCAGAAGCGTTATCATTTTCGTCCACCCGTTGGCCACGACTAAATATTATCAACTGGGCTAGCGCTCCGTGGACTATGGAGACTGCAACGCCTGGTGTCGGGTTTTTTGTTGCTAAAATTTGCGAGCGCGCATGTTAAAAAAACACGTTACATAAATTGTATCACTACTCGATTCTGACCGAATGGTGAGCATTTTCAGACAAGCATGGCTTTGCCATGTTAATACACATTGTTGATCACTCAATCTGCGATCAAATTTTCATCTTCAAATTTGGATCAAACATATCCATCTACCATCTGCTTTCGCAATGTCCCCAATATCTGTAGAACCCAGATAAAAAATTGACAAAGCTTCTGAATTCTATCGGTTAAGAAAGAGTCAACTAACCATTGTAAATTAAGAGCGCCAATGATTTCTTCCATGCAGTCGTTCAACGCCTACTTTTTGCGGTTTATGGACTTCAAAATGCAGACAGAATTGAGCTCACGGTAGCTCCCGATTTCTGTTCTGGTTACAAGGTAAAACTGAAAACAAAACGAAGAAAACCGTGTCACTTGTTAACAAGTAACCTATATCCGGGGATTTTGGGGGATCACCATAAGATGGGGCTTTGTCAGCCTTGTGTTCCTCCCTTGGCAAGGCTCTGGCTACGCCCCCGCCCACACACAAAAGCAGATCAAGTCGTATACGTTGCATGATGGGCAATGAAGCGTCCGTTGGGCCAATTCACACCAAAGACAGACAGCTTCCCGGACGCTATTTCTTTGCGATGGTGTGGTGTGAGGGAAGATAATGCGGAAAAAGATACTGTTGCGGGATCCAACGTGTTTCGTACACCATGTAGTGGTAACGCTGGTCCAAAAGTATGCAGCAAAGCAGCCATACGATCAGTTCGCCGTCAGTCAAGCGAGAGACGTCCGGGCCAGGGCAGTGGTCACCGACGGCGGACAGGAGCAGGGCCCAGATAAGGAACACATGACAGATGGGCCTTATTATGTGGTTTGATTCTTAACAGAGGATCTCCAGTTGTATAGCCTTTGTCACATTGTTTCTAGTAGTTTTAGGCTCCTGAATTTGCTTCCGCCTTAAATGCTGCGACAAGTCTCACCTCTTGAAAAGCAGCCAGCGAAATGAAGGCGCATGAAAAATATGTCGCACTGTGAGCCATCGATTCACTTTCAAAATTCTCGCCAGCCTATATCCAGACCGTCTTTTGGCATCTACATTGTGGATGCAAATGCTTCCTTAATAACCCAAAATACCTACCCGCTCGTGGAATTTCACTTCCCCAGGAAAGACAATGTTAAAATGGACGAATAATCTAGGGAACCTGGATAGCTTTATTCGCCAAATAACAAATGAGTAAAATAGGCGAGATTGTGCACCAGTGATAAACAGCTCTAGATGCATATCTAGCATAGCAACCATGACATTTGAATAAAGAGCGATAACAACCTCCATCCCTACCCCCTGCCCCCCCCCCCCCCCCGGGTCATCGGCCTCGCTTTCCAGAAAAACTTTCTGAAATAGCACCCTGAGCTTGGCACCCCCCCCCCCCCACTTTTTGAAACGCTCCTACGCCCATGATCCTTGACACCACAATCATGTCATTCGAATCCCCCCCCCCCCCCCCAATGAATTGGTCAAACGTCGGACAAGACCAGCATGAATTGCATTGTCAAGTCGTTCAGATCCGGCGTTGGTGAGCACGATTTCCAGATGCCACGGCCATGATTGGGTCCCAATCAATGTTGTGCAAGGTACGATGACGTGATCAAACAATGACCTATTGAGAAACGTATCAGACACAGAAGCTGTGTTGTTTAGAACAGTCTTTACCACTTAAAAGTATAACAATAGTTACAAGTGAGCTTATTTCATCATATTTGATACATGCTTCAATATCTGCAAATGTGAAGCATTTCCTTTGATGACGCTTTTACAGTACATCCAAAAAACAGTGCCACTGTGACTACTTATGAAAGACAACAAATATTTCGACGTTGCACGTTTGCTTTAGGAAAAGTACCCAAACCCTTCCTCTGATTAGTTTACTTCATACAGCTAAATGGTCACATGCAGCGCCACATACACATTCAATAAAAAATGCGAATATACGTGAGTATAATTTTATAGCGTTTGAGCAAGCCCCAAGGCATATTTTTTTTGTCTAGCCTCTCCCTTTGGACGCTCACTTTTTCGTCTGATTGATATGCAAATCTGTCTCCGGTTGACGGCTCTCCCCAGTCCCGGCCGTCAGTCTGCTGTCTAATCTGGCGGAGCTGCGGCAGTGAGCGCCGGGGCGCGCCGATTTCGTCGCGACGCCGGGCCCGGATTACCCGCGCCGCCGTCAGCGGGCCGCCCTGCGCCGTTTTATTCGTCGCACGTGCGCGCGGCGTCCTCGCCGAACGCGTCGCTTCAACCCCTCCCGAATCAGCGCCGCGGCCGCCGCCGGCCGCTCGGAGGGATAACAGATTTAGCGGCGCTAGGCCTGCGCCGCCCGAAGGGACGCCCGTGGCAATCTCGCCCGGCAATCGGCGCCGCGGATGCCGGCCGACCGCCGACCGGGAGTCGGCGGAGACAGCGCGGGGGCCGCGGGCGCGGGTTGCGATCGCGACAGGGGAATATATACCCAGACGAGGCCTCGACGGCTGGCGTACAACGGTGTACAACACGAATAACAAGTCGCAGGAGTCGTATGCACGTATCCGTGATGTCTATCCCGTGGCAAATAACACTCACATCGCATTCCGTAGTCTCCAAAGAAGCTGACACGTCCCAGACGACAAAAAATCGTCTGCATATTTGAAGTCGTTGGGACGGCGGGCGGTCACAGAGACCCCGGCACGCGTCGTTGGCCCGGGAGGAAGCGGTGAGACGGGCGTATATTGCGTGCGGTTGGGGGAAAGTGGGGAGGGCGGATATATCGCGTGCCGCTGTGCCCCGGGAAGTAATGCAGGAGGGCTCTGTCGCACGCGGACGGGAGGAGGAATGCTGAGGAGGGACACGGAGCAAGAAAACGTACCAGTGCGGCAATCCGAGCGGGGCCCTGCCAAAGGGACGGGACGAGAGTGCAAGCATACGTGAATTGCTCTTCGGTAAACACCCACTGGACCTGCTGTGAGACGCGCTAGGAGTGGAAAGGCAGAACTGAGACGGATACGTGTGGATGAGGACGTGTCTTGCCGGGCGATAGCATTTCGTGCTCTCCGATGGATCAGGGGCGAGGCAGAGGGACGGTAGGGAGGGGGGAAGCGCAGCTGCCAGTGCCTGGGAACCGCCGGTCTGGCTCGTTACCATACTCCGGCGCCCCTCTAACCACGAACGTGCAGGCACCGGCGACACGGCTGACGATAAGAGGATTTATCGGGACGGCGGCGGGGTTATGTACCGGGGCCGTGGCGGAGCGGGGCGAAAGGGGCGAGAGCTGACTTGCGGCGGAAATAGACCAGAGAGTGACAGTCACGACTGGCGGGGAGCGGCCGGCGGTGGCGAACGGCCCGGCGGCGAGCTGTGCGCAGCGAACCACAGCTGCCCGCCTGGACACGCTGGCTGGGAATACGAGACGAGACGGGATAAATCTGGATGGAAAAACGTAAATCATCGCGCTCCCACGAGCAGCGTAAATTTAGACCCACAAAGGAACTTGTTTAGATAACGCTTCCACCAGGACGACGCGCTCTCCAATAACCCGTGTACCGTGTACAAACTACTGCCGCTTCGCGCTCGTCACAGCGTCCCAAGTCGCCGACAGATTTCTGATCGTTGTTCACACGTTGGTGCAGTCATACTTCAGGTATGGGATCTAGCCAGGTGACAAATTTTTTGATCGGACACTTCAGCTCTGTCACACGCTAGCTATTTCGCACCACGCGAGATCAACTCCGCAGTATGGTTATCCCGAAACTGCAGAAGTGGCAAGACATCATAAAATAAAATGTCTACCTCCTAGCATACCCAGAATGTGTCAAAGTATGTGATTTGAGAAGCCCGCTTTTTTAGTTCCATGAACAAATAAAACTCATGCATCGAGCATGAAAAGGGAACATTTCATAGCTGAGGACAACGCAGTTTAACATCTACATCTGCTTACACTCATGGCAGCTCTCTGCACCTACCTACCGCTTCGCGTCAGCTTGACCCCCTCCCCCCGAAGGACCGCCACGTTCCTGGCCAGTGCGGGCCAGTCACTGTTGCCCAGTACACCGCACTCGCCCGCCGGGACATGCCCCGTGCTCGAGGCATGGGCGCGCACGGTGGCGCCATCTGTTTCAAACCTTGTCCTGATCGTCGATGCCGGTCCCCTATCTGCAGGTCGGGCATGCTGCGTGTTGTGTTGTTTCCGTTTGAAGCACACGCCATTTTATTTAACAGTAGTGCAGTCTTAACTAAGGGCGTGGCAGAACGCTCAAATGAGCGTGTGCCAAGCCGAGGTACCCCACGGGTCTTGACGTACAGCTCCATGTAGCGCGTACTTCTACGATCTCTGTACAGTTACTGTAGCTGTAGAAGCTATAGTTGATACTGTTGCTGTAGAAGCTGACGAAATAAAACCGGTGCCGACACGTTACCGGAGGTGGTGACACCTGACGCTAACTGGTGCATGGCCAGCAAACCTCTGAGCGTGTTCTCTGAGCCGGTCTAGAGCGGCGTGCGGCAACAATGTGCGTTTGGTTAGGCAAGAGGGTAGCGCACCGTTACGACGCACAAAGCAGAGCTGTGACTTTGCTGTATGCGGCCGATAACTGTGCACGAGCCTTGTGCACACGCTTTTGCAATAAAAGACACGATCATTGGTAACAAAAGTCAAGCAACTGTATATTGTACATATAAACTTTGTAAAAATGCTACCACCACCGCAGGGGGAGACGCCGCCGTACCATTGAATAAGCGCATTTCCTACAGCGAGCGTGACAGATGCGGCTTGGTTGTCAGCACAGCACCAAAGCCAGCGAGATCTCATGGGAGCTCACTGAGCTGCCTGCCCACCGCCCATGTCAGCTGGCGGCACAGCGACATCACAGTCAGCACATCTGAAAGAGCATAAGCAGAGCAAGCAGGCGGGCTTTGAGCAGTCGGCGCCATCATGTTTTTTCTTCTTTTTTTTCGGGGAGCCTGCAATGGGTGACCGCGCATGCCCCAGATTGCACACTCCGTTCAAAATAGCATGTCGATGAAATCTGGAATGTTCTACCCCATTCCTTTGCAGAAAATCAGACAACCCGCGGCATCTACCGTTTGGTCCCACATGTGAGCTGACCTCGTGCATATGACGGGTACTGGATCGAGTACATTGTATAGGAAGTTTGCTGAGTATATAAGTTCCATACAGTCCAAGTAACAGTCTCCATGCATATCCAGCATTCATGGATATGCGCAGCCGCGCCCGAAGCCTACCCAACCCCGCTGGTGGGACCGTGGACACGCTGACAGACATCGCATCCCTCACAACTGGGCGCGCCGACCACGTAACAACTCCGATCTCCCCGACAAAGCTCCGTCATTCGAGGAAGACAGCCGATTCGATGTTTAGCCAACGGTTAAAGGGAGTGCTCCAGATCTGTAGAGGTTTCCGACCGAAACAGCATCTTGAAGATCATTCGATGCAGTTCACAGTCCTGTCCTTAACGTCTCATGAAGGGCGGAGCCGTGAACTGCACCGAATGATCGTCATGACAGTATTTCAATGCAAACCCCTATATCCATGCGGAACACTCCCTCTGACGTGATTCGCCACATACACGTGTTAACTGACCAGCCACCGCCTTCCGGCGGCCGGCGGCGCTACACTGCGCCGCCAGGCCGAGCCGCGCCGCGTCGCCAGCAACTAGTTGTCGGGCTGACCAAAGGTGCCGACCTTGCAGAGCTCGCAGCTGGCCTCCCACATCTTCTGCTGCTGCTGAGCGTCCTCCGTGTAGCCGGCCGAGCGGTACACGGCCGCGTTCTCGAAGTGGGCGGCGCTCACGCCCTCGGCCTCCGGCGAGAGACAGGCGTACAGCACCGTCTCGGCGCCATCCTTCGGGCTCTGCGGGCGCGGAGGCGCGAGCGGGTCACTGACTGACGGCTCGCAGGACACACGCACGGCCAGGCGGGCGGGAGTCGCCCACAGGTGACAGCGCAGGACACAGACAGGTGAGGGGTCGAACACAGGTGAGAGCATAGGACACAGGCAGGTGAGGGGTCGAACACAGGCAAGAACGCAGGACACAAACAGGTGAAGAGTCGAACACAGGTGAAAGCATAGGACACAGGCAGGTGAAGAGTCGAACACAGGTGAGAGCATAGGACACAGACAGGTGAAGAGTCGAACACAGGTGAAAGCATAGGACACAGGCAGGTGAGTGGTCGAACACAGGTGAGAGCATAGGACACAGGCAGGTGAAGAGTCGAACACAGGTGAGAGCATAGGACACAGGCAGGTGAGGGGTCGAATACAGGTGAAAGTATAGGACACAGGCAGGTGAGCGGTCGGACACAGGTGAGAGTATAGGACACAGGCAGGTGAGGGGGCGCCCACAGGTGACAGTTCAGGACACAGGCAGGTGAGAGGTGACAGGACATGGAGCAGACAGGTCCGAAACGATTCAGAGGTGGGAGCACATCACGTGAGGGTCGTGAATGGCACGCCAGGTGGCAGCAAAGGACAGAGCAGGATCAGGAAGCAGGGACCCGGGGATCGACGGTTCAGGGGACACCAGGAGATACCGACAGACATGGGAACGGCAGCGCTGGTTACAATACCCGACACTCACAGACAAGCGACTAAGCACACGCGACAAACGACACAGCCAGGTCAAGGACCTCTCGTACGTGACTTCACACAATGCATACCGTTCACGAACCGTTCATAAGTGAACGCACACAGCACACGCATCCCACGTATCAGCCAATGGCGACAAGAGGCAACCAAGTCTGAAATCACTTAATAACAGGGCTCCAGGCCCACGCGAAAATCCATCCCGAAACGGGTCGGCGAGTGCGCACTCATTACCCTCCAGATCTTCTTCAGCACGGGCGCGGCCACTTTGTAGATGGTGGTGTAGTCGTAGAGGTCGGTATAGATGACGCCCGGGTGAAGAGAGTTGCACGTGACGTTGTCACCAGCCTCCTGTGCCTTCTTGGCCAGGTACTTGGTGCACAATATCTGCGCACCCTTCGATTGGAAGTAGGCGCCCTTCGACGAGTAAGTTGTGCTGAAATGGCAGGCACGTTTTGACAGACGCTCCATGGGGTAACACAGCGCACACAGATCCACACAGACTCCGGCCTGGAAGCGGAGCGTTGCCTGACTTAAACGCGAAATTCTAGCCACTAAGTACGACACCTTTAGTTTCATAAGCGGACAGGTCGCATGGTAAGCGCATGCCGGTCATCATTTAGGTGTCCACTGACATCTGGTTTCCGGCTCGACGACTAAAGCAATTATAAATAAATGAGGTGGCGTTATCATACACCAATATTGCTCCTTATTATCACGTAATGTAGATATGATGAGCTAGTCAAGACACCTTATTTTTCGCTTTCTCTGCATTCATCTAAACCCGAACGTCACATGAAGGCCTTTAGCGTATCTCAGCTGAGTGGATCACATAGCGGTGGTCGCTACCCCTCACCCCACACCTTAACATGATGTCGTCGAAGTTGACGCCCCCGCAATTGTGCGCGGCGGAGGAGACATTGACGATCCTAGCCTTGCGGTCAGCGGTGCCCGCGGCGCGCAGGCGCGGGTACAGCAGATGCTGCATGGTGAAGTGACCCAGGTGGTTGACAGCCAACTGCATCTCGAACCCGTCCTCGGTCAGCTCGTGCTTCGGGTAGAACATGATGCCGGCTGGAACAGCCGCAGCCTCAGTCAGAGAACAGCATGGCCATAAGGAGCACACGATGAGGAGGAGGTGGTCTGTTGACTCCAGACCAGGCCCTGACGGGGCGATCTGTTGACTCCAGACCATCCCCGCAGGGGGTGGTCTGTTGACCCAGACCATCCCCGCAGGGGGTGGTCTGATGACCCAGACCATCCCTAAGGAGGTGATCTGTTGACCCAGACCATCCCCGCATGTCGACCCAGACCATCTCCGCAGGGGTGATCTGGTGACCCCAGACCAGGCCTCACAGGGGGTAGTCTGATGACCCAGACCATCTCCGCAAGGGGTGATCTGGTGACCCAGACCATCTCCACAGGGGGTGATCTGGTGCCCCGAACCATCTCCGCAGAGGGTGATCTGTCGACCCCAGACCGGCCCCAGACACACAAACCAGGAGAGGCGTCCGGTGGAGCCGGGAATGATCCCGATCCGCCAACCACGTGCGGCTAGTCGGAAGGGCCGGTCAGCAGAATAATCCGGTTAGCTAACATCCACAACGAACAGGGTCCGTTTTTCATCAAGCCTGCCCGGCGGAACAGGGAGGACGCGCGCAGACGGCCGCGCGCGCCGCTGGTCAGGCGGGTCGCGCGCATATACTGATACTCAGTGGGACAGAGGCAGGGCCACTCGACCGACACCACAGGCCCCCCCCCCCCCCCCGCTCGTGTCTCGGCCAGGTCCGCCTCACCACAGTCCCTCCTCCCCCGCTCGCGCTCCGGCCGGGTCCGCCTCACCGTTGCAGAGCAGCACATGGAGAGGCAGTCCCGTCTCCAAAAACCGCTGGCAAAAGGCGTGCACCGACTTCTGTTTGGTCAAATCCAGCGGCCATACCTCCAGCTTGCCCTTGCCGTCCACCTCGGCCGCCAGCGGCTTCAGCACCTTCTCCGCCTTCTCCACGTTGCTGGAGCCTTGAAAAGAACAGCCCCTTGGTGACGAGCAGGCCGTAAACAATGGCGGCATTGCAGCAGCCGACGCTGACACAGGAGCGGCCAATGTACCCGAGTGCTCAGCGCGTGCGCACTCACAAAGCCACCCGAAAAAATGTTCGGTAGGTCCTGCAGGTAAATTGGTCGGCAGATGGCCGCCAGGAAAGGTCGCTCATGGTCGAGAACGGGTACGGTGCATCCTTCCCACTCCGGGCCAACGGTCAGAGCACACCAACGGTCCTCCGCTGGGGGCACGTGACTGCCGGTTTGCCTCGGCTCGACGCCTCGGCTTCAGCTGCGGGGTCCGTCGCCAGCCGTGGGACGGGACTCACCTATGATGAGGTGCATGTTGAGTCGGAGCATGGTCTTGACAGCCTCGAGGCCGATGCCGCGCGAGCCGCCCGTCACCACGGCGACGCGGCCCTCCTGCGACGGCAGCTCTGCTCCGGAGGTACGGCGACACGTCACAGCGGTACTCGGTGCCCGGCCGACACAGCGGACACGAGACGGAAGGGGCACGGCCTGGTCAGGTCCTCAAGTGGCAGCGGCACCAGGCGCGCGGCGCACACAGCGCACACGAGATGGCAGGGACACGGCCTGATCAGGTCCTCATGTGACAGCGGCACCCAGCGCGTGGCCGACACAGCGGACACGAGACGGAAGGGGCATGGCCTGATCAGGTCCTCAAGTGGCAGCGGCACCCGGCACGTGGCCGACACAGCGGACACGAGACGACAGGGGCATGGCCTGATCAGGTCCTCAAGTGACAGCGGCACCCGGCACGTGGTCGACACAGCGGACACGAGACGATAGGGGCATGGCCTGATCAGGTCCTCAAGTGACAGCGGCACCCGGCGCGTGGCCGACACAGCGGACACGAGACGGCAGGGGCATGGCTTAATCAGGTCCTCAAGTGACAGCGGCACCCGGCACGTGGCCGACACAGCGGACACGAGACGATAGGGGCATGGCCTGATCAGGTCCTCAAGTGACAGCGGCACCCGGCGCGTGGCCGACACAGCGGACACGAGACGGCAGGGGCATGATCTGGTCCAGCCCTCATGTGACAGCGGCACCAGGCGCGTGGCCGACACAGCGCACACGAGACGGCAGGGGCATGGCCTGGTCAGGCCCTCGTGTCCACGTCGCCGTATCAGTTGGGAAGGCAGCGCATGCGCCCTACATGAGCCAATTCGTAAGTTAATAGTACCAGCACACTTTGCTAGAGTACGGTGCGAGCACTGTTTTGCCGTTTGACATAAAGGAATGACACGAGGGGCTGACTTGATCTGTTGTGATCATGACCAATGGAATGATCTGTTGTTTCTGTTCGTACGTAGTCAGAGTAGCGTGTAAACTCATCAGCGAGCTTCTCAGAGCATGCAACGCTCCCACGCCGTATCGTTTCTGCTGCCTGTTTGTACGTTCATGTTCGTGATGACCATCTCATGCCAAAAGCACCACCTAAGACTCTCCTGCGGTCCACGGGCCCCGGTTGCGCCTGATCACCGACCTCTGCGCCCCCCCCCCCCCCCAGGCACGCCCTGCCCCAGCCCCAGGCTCCGGGCCCCGGACCGCCTCCTGCACCATCCTCCCTCGGCGGGCGGCGACCGTGTGACGTCACACCGTCCCGTCCCGTGCTCGTCTGGTTCGAGTGACATGGCCACAGGCCCCGGACTCCAGGCAGCATGCACCCGTGCGAGAGGACATGCGAAGAAGACGTTCGGGTCATGTCCTCACGCCAGTACGTCAGGACAAGGCCTGGGCCCAAGCAGGCGTGCAGCTCTGCACAACACCCGGGGTGAGCGGAAAGACAGCGGGCAGCGTGCTGCACGCCAGCTGGCGACGTCAAGCTCCAGACACCATACCCGTGTCATCGGTCCCCCGACACCGCCAGCCTCCTGGCTTCGTCGCATGCACCATGTACGCCACATGCATATCTCTGGCATGGTGCTGGCTGCTTGACATCACGGTGGGCTTGCTTAAAACATTAGACAGACACAACGACATAAACACACGGAGCGTAAAGACGAAACACACCTTGAACGAAAGAAAATGGTGAGAGTAGAGAGATAGACAAAAGGCAACGGACTGAGTAGATAGGTAGAGTAAGGAGCCAGACAGAAGGGAAAGGACTGAGGAGAAACATATATCAGTACATAGTTTTACAAGGGGAGGGGAGGGGACGGGGGGAGGGGAGAGAGGGAGGGGAGGGGACGGGGAAGAGAGAGAGAGAGAGAGAGAGAGAGAGAGAGAGAGAGAGAGGAGAGAGAGAGAGAGAGAGAGAGAGAGAGAGAGAGAGAGAGAGAGAGAGAGAGAGAGAGAGAGAGAGAGAGAGAGAGAGAGAGGCCGAGACCGAGACCGAGACCGAGACCGAGACCGAGACCGAGACCGAGAACCGAGACCGAGACCGAGACCGAGACCGAGACCGAGACCGAGACCGAGACCGAGACCGAGACCGAGACCGAGACCGAGACACCGAGACCGAGCCGAGACCGAGACCGAGACCGAGACCGAGACCGAGACCGAGACCGAGACCGGATACCGAGACCGAGACCGAGACCGAGACCGAGACCGAGACCGAGACCGAGAACCGAGACCGAGACCGAGACCGAGACCGAGACCGAGACCGAGACCGAGACCGAGACCGAGACCGAGACCGAGACCGAGACCGAGACCGAGACCGAGACCGAGACCGAGACCGAGACCGAGGACCGAGAAACCGAGACCGAGACCGAGACCGAGACCGAGACCCGAGACCGAGACCGAGACCGAGAGAGAGAGAGAGAGAGAGAGAGAGAGAGAGAGAGAGAGAGAGAGAGAGAGAGAGAGAGAGAGAGAGAGAGAGAGAGAGAGAGAGAGAGAGAGAGAGAGAGAGAGAGAGAGAGAGAGAGAGAGAGAGAGAGAGAGAGAGGGAGAGAGAGACTAAAGGGAGGGGAGGGGAGGGGAGGGAGGGAGAGACAGGGAGGCGGTGGGTAAGAGACCGCCAAAGCCCGCCTCGTGTTACGGTGCGGCAGCGGCGGCGCGCCTCCCCACCCGCGCCGCCGCAACGAGACATGCTCACCTGCCGACACTTTCCGGAAGAATAGCCACTCCCTCACCATAGCCTGACCACCAACCAGGACTACATATAACTCGTTCCACACCCACGTTCCCAGCCGGCGCAACATCTGTAACGGTGGGCGGGCGGGTTAGAGGCCAGGGGTCGGAGGCGGCCGGTACCGGCTGCCACACTCACCGCCGGCCGGCTTCACCGAGAACAAGAGCTCGCGGTACATGCAGGGCACGCCCTGCAGCAGGAAGGCGACATTGTCGCGGGTGAGCACAGCCGCCGACTTCAGCATCGCCATCCTGCAGACAGAGGGCACGGTAGCTGCAGCGGGGTCGGCACAGCACGGCCAGTCGGCCGCGATGGAGGGCACACCGGACACAGCTGTCAGCGGCGAGCGGCGGCGCAGTCGGCGGCCGGTGGAAACAGGGGTCACATCACGTCACGGACCAACCACGCTCGGGGATCATGAGACAAGGATTGGAGATCAGGAACTCGTTCATAATATTTCGACTCAAAATTCGCGTCCATGGTAAACACTGACTTTTGCCCCCGAAATGTCACGGAGCCTCTCGATTTTCCGCAGTCAAAGATCATCTCCAACTCGGGTCATATCTCACGATCCCGGGAGGGCCGTGAGGCCAGCAGACGGGCCGCAGGGGAGCCACAAGCACTGCTCAGCGTCAACGCCGCTGTCAGAATGCCATCCAATGACATGTTTGGACTAAATCTGCATGAAAACGCACTTACCGGAATTGAAATTGAAACCGACAGATAGGCGTAGCACCATACCGCCACGTGACTCACGCCATGCCGCCGTATGCGTCCTGCTGTATGAATGAGAAGATGCACAAAACGGACACACGAATCTGATAGCTTTTGGTCATGCAGGGTGCGCAAATTTAGAGCAGAGAATGTCCTGTTCTCACACCATGACGCCATAATGTCCGCCGCTTCATTCCAAGCGCTCTTAACATCTCATTCTCGCAGTATCGGTGACACCTACAGCCCGAAAACAAAAGACCGCCTTCATTTGGAGACATCAATGTGTCCAGTTCATCCCTTGATGGCGACGGATCGGCATGGGATGTCCCATGCGGATTCCATGCATTTTATTCCAGCGAGGACCATCGGTTTGCCAGATAACGGGGCGGGAGCGGACGGATGAGAGGTACAGTATTCGCGACCCGCAGCCAGCTCAGCGATTTAGCAAACGTTGGCCGTCCGATCAGAGACGTAGCATCGCCTGCACGTCCGATTTAGGGCCGTCGAATGCGGCAGCGGAAGCTTAATCCCCACGGGTCGTTCAGGCGTTTCGGTTCGTGCGGGTGGCTCGTGTCAGTCGAGGCCGGAACGGCGCCGGGAAAGCTCGCCAGACCCAGCATCCACCAGCGATTCCTAGTGCGGGAGATACGTTCCGCAGAGCCCAGACGGCAGCGCCGCCCAGCGGCGGCGGCGGCTGCCGCGGTCCGCTACAGGCGGCGCGAGTCCTCACGCAGCACGTCAGCGGCGCCACCGCTGGCCACACACACCGCCACGGGCACATGCAGCCGCTCCAGCTGCTCCACCACCACATGTAGCAGCCAGTAGACGGAGCGGCTGCGCAGCTCCGGCCGCGCCGCGAACTCCACGCGCAGTGTGACTTCGCCGAGCGGCGGCAGCAGGCCGCTCGCGGGCAGCACGCGCAGTCCCACCGGCGGCGGCGGCGGCGGCACGCGGAAGGCCAGCTCGGCGCCGGACGCGTTCAGCAGGCGCAGCTGCGCGCCGGTCGTGTCACCGGGCCGCACCATGCCCAGGTCGAGCCGCGCCGGCCGCCAGCTGACGTCCCTTGACGCGCCCGGATCGTCCGGGAGCGCCGCCAGCTCCAGCGGCGCGTCCCGCAGCCGCGTCCGCTCCGCCGGCGGCCGCGCCTCGCCGGCCGTCTGGCGCAGCGTCTCCAGGAACTGGCGGCCGTCCGAGGTGAGAAAGTACGGCGGGAAGCGGTGCCGACGCAGCATGTCCCGATAGATGATGATCTTGTCCAGCTCGCGGATGGCGGCGCCGCAAAGCGAGATGGCGCGCGTTTCCTTGCGCTCGCGCGTATGCGCCGGCGCGCTGGTCGGCGGCGGCGGCGCCAGCGCGGCGCCCAGTACTTCCAGCAGCCGGTCCGGCTCATACACGTGCTGGAGGTGTGTCAGCGGCGGCGGCTCGGTCGGCAGCAGTTCGGGGGACGTATCCGGCCGGTAGCGCAGGCGCGCCTCGTGCACTGCCCGCAGCGCGACGTTGCGCCGCTCGCCCTCCAGCGGCGGAGCCACCACCAGCTCGCGCGTGCAGACCAGCCCGGTCGGCGGCGGCAGCGGAGCGCGCGGAGCCGTCCGCTCGCCACCGCCCCAGACGGACCCGCCAGCCTCCGCCGGAGGGTCTGCCCGGCTGAGCAGCCGCAAGTCGCGACAGCGTAGGTTCGGCGGCACGATGGTCGGCTCCGAGTAGGGCACACGCCAGCGGTCGGCCGGCGCGCAGCTCACGGGCCGGAACGATTTGACCACCGTCAGCTCGGCGTCGGCCATGTGCGGCTCACGCACCACCACGCCACCTGACGTCCGCTCGACGAGGCTGATGTACGCGTCCGCCTCACTAGATGGCAGCAGCCGCAGGCCGTCGCCCTGGCGGTACAGCACGAAGAGGCGCGGCGACTCGGGCATCACGGTCTCCTCGTCCATCTGACGGCGCAGCTGCAGCGGCAGCGGCTCGGGCAGCTGTTCGGGCTCGCTCAGCCCGGCCGCCGCCAGCTGGCCGTCGGCAGAGACGCACCACACGGCGCCGTCCGAGTCGACCGACTCGCAGAGGCTGGTTCCGGGTGGCACTTGCTCGGCGACCGACTCGGCCGGTGCCGGCTCGGCCGGCGCCGACGCTGCCGCCGCGGAAGGCTCGGCGGCCGCTTCAGACGGGGCGATCTCAGAGGCAGCAGCTGGCTCGGTGGCGGAGACGGCGTCTTCCTCGGTGGCAGAGACAGCGTCTGCCTCAGTGGCAGGGGCTGTGTCTGTCTCGGTGGCAGAGGCTGTGTCAGCGACAGGCTGAGGCGCAGCGTCCGTGTCCGTGGCAGGAGCTGCATCAAGGACAGGCTGAGCGGCAGCCTCAGCCTCTGGCGCAGCCTGGGACGCGGCCTCGGGCGGAGCGGACGCCTCCGCCGCAGCTCCGGTGGCCGGCTCAGCACCGTCGGCGAACGTCACGCCTGGCTGCTGGTCGGCGGTGGGCGGCGCCGGCGGCGGCGGCGGCTCCTCGTGTGGGCCCAGCCGCAGTGTGTGCACCACCGGCCGCTGGCCGTCGGCCGCCACCGAGCTGAAGCTCAGCAGCTCGGCGTTCAGCAGCAGCTGCGAGCCGTCCGGCTGGCGCACGCAGAACAGGCCTTCGCTGTCGGCCTCCACCGTCAGGCCCTGCGGCAGCTGCACCTGGCAGCGCGCGCGCCGCTGGTCCATCAGCACGCGCGCGTACTCCGGATGCTCGATCAGCACGGCGGCGCGGTCGGTGGCCGCGTCGTCGATGGTGACGCGCACGCCCAGCAGCCAGGAGACGCGCGGCTGGCCGATCCAGCCGGCCTCGTTCACCAGGTAGTCCGAGCAGCCGGGCGGGCGCGGCTCGGCCGGCGGCGGCTCGGCGGCGGCCGCCGTCACCGTCACCCGCGTGCCGTCTGGCGTCTCCAGTACCGACTGTCCGCCGGGCCGCACCACGGCGCGCAGGCCGTCCTCGCGCTGCACGTACAGCTCGCGCGTCACCGGGTCCGTCGCCTGCTTGCTGAGCAGCGGGCGCGGCTCGGGCGGCGCGTCCGGCGCGTGACTGAGCCGGCGGCCGGCGCCCGTCACCTCGCTGACGACCGTCAGGCCGGCCTCCGAGCAGACGTACGTGGTCAGGCTGCCGTCCAGACCGAGCGCCACCACCTGGCCGGCCGGCCGCGCGTCGCCGTCCATCAGCAGCAGCGTGCCGTCCCCCAGGTGCACGCGCAGACGGCGTCGCTCGCACGCCGCGTCCACGTAGTACTGCACGACACGCACTCGTGGCTCCGAGCCCGGCCAGAAAGGGTCCGGCTCGAGCTCGACCGTCAGCCCGTTCGGGCACGAGAGGTGCAGCGTCTGTACGCGACGCGACGCTGGGGTCGGTTCGGCGGCCGGCGGCTGCGGAGCCGGCTCCTCGGGCGGCGGAGGTGGCGGCGCCGGCGGTGGCTCCTCCTCCACAGAGGCGGGCCGCTTCTTGCCAGCGCCCACGCGCTTCGACAGCTTGGGCTCTACCTTCTTCTTCGGCTCCTTCTTCTTGGCCTTCTCAACGGGCGGCGAGCGGCGGCGCACGGAGCGGCGCGGCTGCGGCGGTGGCGAGTCCGGCGCCTCCGGCATCTCCGGCGGCGCGGCCGCCGGCGGCTGCCGCAGCGCTGGCCGCGGGTGCAGCTGCACGCCGCCGGCCAGCTGCGCCGCCAGCTGGTGCTCCGTCTCGCCGGGGTGCAGCGTCAGACTCGTCTCGCCGTGACAAACGCTGACGGCTAGCGCCGTCGGCCCGTGCACGTACTCGGTGCGGTGGACAGTGACGTACGAGCCGTTGCTGAAGTACTGGCGCTGGCGGCGCCCGCTCACGCTCAGCAGCCGGTCCAGCTCCAGGTCGTAGCCCGGCGAACACCTTCTCGGGCGGTGCGGGGCTGGGCGGCCGCATGCGCAGTCGGCTCCCCTCAGGGTGACTTGGGCCGGATCTCAAACTGCACGACGCTGATGGCGGCGGCTGACTGGGCCGGGGCGCCCTCCGGATCAGCCCGGTCGCCCTTGGCGCTGCTCGGACGCGGCTTGGACTTGCGTCGCGACGAGTCCTTGCCCTTCTTGGCCTTCTTCTCCGCAGCAGGCGGCGGCTTAGGTTCATCCTTGACGACAACGGTCTTCTGCTCCTCTTGTTGCAACTGTTCGTATTTCAGCGAGCCGGGGACCAGGAACACCGCGTCCGGCAGCTGGAAGCCCTCCTGCTGCTGTTCCTGCGGCGCGGTCTCGGTCTGATTCGTCGCCATCGTCGCCGTCGCCGTCGCTGGCGCCGGCGGCTGCGGCTGCGGCTGCGGAGGCGCCAGTTCGTCCGCCATTTCCAGCAGCTGGCCGTGTCGGCGCTGCAGCCAGGCGCGAACCTCCGGCCAGTGCTGCACGTACTCCAGAAAGTCGCGGAAGCCAACAGCCGTGTGTGTGCGTCGTTCCCAGCCGTCGCTCAAGCGGCCGCGGCGCACGCGCGGGTGCCCATACACCAGATACAGGCCGTCGTCGCCGCCGAAATGGAAGGCGGTCAGGCGCTGTCGGCCGGCGCGCGCTTCCGCCAATGCCTGAGCCATCGTCAGCCTGTCCAGCCGCTCCGAGACGCAGTACTCGGCGAAGCGCGGGGGCATGTCCAGCAGAGCGTCGCGCGTGTCGAGCGGCGCGGCGTCAGTCGCCAGCGCGGCGTCCCCGCACTCCGGTACGATGTGCTGCTCGTCCGGCCGCACCGACTGCGCCGGCAGGAACGGGTGCGGGTACGGCTGAGGCGCGCCGCCGCCGCCGCCGCCGCCGGTCGTCAGCGCCGCGTACATTGACTCAAACATCAGCTGACGCAACGTGAGGTCGGCCGCCTCTGCCGATGCCGGCCCGCCAGGCGCCGTCTGCAGCTCCTGGCGGGCGGTCAAGTGGCGCCAGAGACTGGCGTGGGGTGGCGGCGCGCGGCGCAACAGACTCTGCAGCTCGGCGGCCTGTGTCAGCACGTGCTCCGCGCTCAGCACCACCTCGCGGTCTGTCCAGTCGAAAAAGTCGGCGTTGACGGTGTCGCCCTCGTACACGAGCGTGGGCCCGCGGTCCTCGTCGAAGTCCTGAGCCGGGAACTCGTCCTTGAGCGCGGCCGGCTCCTCCCTCTCCGCTGGCTCTGGCTCGCCGCAGGAATCGCCCGCAGCTCCCGCGTCACTGGCGGCTTCCTCGGCCCGATCCCAGCCGGGCGTGGCCCATAAGCACACCTGCTCCACCAGCGCGTTGACAATGAGCGGTACGGTGACTGACTCTGGCGGTAGCGGCGCCAGCAGGCGACGGTACTCTAGCGGCTCCTCCAGGCATGGCTCCGGCTCCGGCTTCGGCTCCTGCGGCGACGGCGGCTCCTCAGTTGGCTCCTCCAGCGGTGGCGGCTTCGGCGGCCGCGGCGCGTCCGGCACCGGCACCGACGTCACGCTCTGCACGTACATGTCGAAGATCTCCCGCAGCCGCAGGTGCCGGTACAGCTGGCGCGCCACCGTGTCGAACGCCTGCTCGGCGGCGCGCGCGGCGCTCGTGGCGAACTGCACACGACAGCGGTCCAGTGACACCTCGACCAGCGCTGTGTCCCGGAGGCGGCTGGCGGGCGGCGCCGGCGCCAGCGCGGCCGGCAGCTCACGCCAGAACTGCGCTGCCCGGTCAGCACTGCCGTCGCGCCGGCGGCTGCGCGCCGTGGAGTGGCGCGAGCCGCTCAGCAGGCACGGCTCACCGCCCAGCCGCAGCACCGCCTCCAGGTGCACACGGCATGCGGCCAGCTCGCGCGGCAGCTGCGGGTCGCAGAAGCCGACCAGTAGTACGTACAGGTCGGGCCCGTCAGCCGGCTCGTCGTCCTTGTAGCGCGGCTCCTCCGTTTCGCCTCGCTTCCTCAGCGTGACCGGCTTTGTCTCGCAAAAAGCGCCGAACTCCTTGTCCTCTTTCTCCGCCTGCTTGTCGGTGAGCGGTTCCTCTACTGGCTGTTTGTCCACTTTTGCAGGCTTTTTCTTCTTGCTGGACGCATCCTTCTTCTTGCCCTTGGACAGCTTGGCCGGCTCGGGAGGATTCGGCATGGGCAGGTCGTCAGCGGCGCCGGCGGCCGCGCGCCGCTCGACCAGCAGCAGCGAGACGGCGTGCTTGACGACCAGCGCCATCATGGCCGCGTCCAGCTGGCCGGCGTCCCGCAGCTGCTCGGCCGCCGCCAGAAGCATCGCCTGCTCCGGCGGCACACCCGACGATGTGCGGCCCGTCGACTCGCGCTTGCTGCCCATGCGGCCCACCTGGTTGGCTTTTGGGTTCTTTGATGGCGCGGACTTCTTGACGTCTGGCACCAGCTTGAGCACCTCGTGGCGCTCCAGCAGCGCAAACTTCCGCCGCAGTCCGGAGCGCACCCCCGAGACCAACATCGACAAGAGGTCGGCATCATGGTCAGTTGCTTCCAAAATCATATAAAATTGGCTGGTGAGGTCCTCCACCTCCACAGCCTGGCTACAAAATTCAGCCTCCCACCATGGTGGTCCATCCTGCTCAGGTGTGATTGGTAGTGCCTCTGCCTCCACTGCAGGCACTGTTAGCTTTTTGCTTTCCTTCTTGCCCATGGTCCTGATATGTTGTTAATTTATACTTCTAAGCAAAACACTAATATTTCAAGAGTGCTTTAACTACAAGGCATCTTGTGTTCTTTGATACCTGCTAGCATGCATATGCTTCTCAGAGCATGCATATATGCAAAAATGGCAATCATGCAAGATGGTCTTCTCAAATTGGATAAATTATGGCAGGAATTGTGTGGGTTTGATGACTTGCACATGAAGAAGAGGAAGTGGATGCTTGAAGGATGAATGATATGAATCTGGAATTTTTTACACACATGTCAGGCTAAATCGTCACCTAAAATTGTCCAAAGATGCAAGTAATAGTCTAGTAATCATTTAATTATGATGAACACTCTGCATAGATCAGGATACACCACAAGTTATTGAATATGGGGGTTCCAATACATTATTTTGGTAAGACAAGTCAACTTTTTCGAGGTCGTGCCATTGAGACCACATTCGCAAAGCTACCGGAAGAATCCATGCATGGTGTGACCTGTGCTCGACCAGGCACCTACCTCCTTTCAGATGTAGCAGGATTCTTGCTGAGTTTTCGATTATTCCCAAGCCTATTCTCGAACACCTTCAGTCCACTTGCCCCTTCACAGGTAATGCTTTAGTTCCTAACGAGAGAGCGCCTCTCATGCAATTTGGACCACGACGAAGCTTTAGATTTGCAACAAGTCGTTAATATTACACTGGTCCAGCACCTTTCACTTTGCACAACCCCCGTTATTCCTGTCGCCCTCGCCACTACCCAGTCCCTTCAGCCCGGAACCGGACCGCTACTCGCAAACAGTCGCTGCCCTGTGACGTTGCGTGGCATGTTTATTTGACCACCAAATACGATTTGTAGGACTAATCCTGGAACAGTTGATCCTCACTTTTGGCAATTTAATGATAACAAAGGATTTGTCTATTTTTATAATATCTTTTAAGATCTTTAGAAATATTTTTACATTTTACATAATTTTGTATGATGAAAAATTAAGAATTTACTTATTTGGTACAAATCTATCCTTTTTAAGGTTTTATTTGAAGTAGTGCATTCTTGCTAGCTACATGGCGCGTCTGAGACGAGTTCTGAAATTCTAAAAAAAAGGATTGGGGAAGGCACTTCGAGGAGAGGCGTGGGAGCGCGGGAATTGTGTGGTGTACGTGTGAGTGGCGCGCTGTAGAGAATAGGTAGGTACTTGTTTTTCAGGCGTGAATTCACGTGCATCATTCTGTTCGCATGGGAGCGAAAGTAGTTATCTCATGGCTGGTTAGTCGAAAGATAAGTCATTGTAGCCTGGCCTCAGGAGATGGATTTGGGCAAAAGTGGGTAAAAAATATTGAACTGTTCTTTCAAATATTTATGCATGCACATCAATTACACAATAATTTTTGTTGACTTTTGATGCGGTTAATGTATGTGCACAATGCATTGTATTCTCTCATAATTTGTAAGAGTCTTGGAACAAAGGAAAATTGTAGCTGGGTGTGTGGGCATATTTGCTGTATGATGGGCAGCAGGTAAATTGTGGACACAATTTGTTTTGTTTCATTTAACTTTGTAATATGAGTATGACTTGTGAGAGCAAGTGATTTTGTATTTTTGTTTGGAAGTTTGTCATTGTGAGAAATGGGACCAGATTTAAGATAACATTGTGAATTCTATGGTATCTACAGGGGCTCAGTTATTACCTCAGTTTGTACTGGTATACAACATTTGCTTTGGGCCATTATATCCTTGGAATGCAATGTTTATTGCAGTATAATACAGAAGGCAACTTCTAGGTTTCAACACTGCATAATTATGTTCCTTATCCTTCATTGTCCTCACAGGCTGCAGTATACAATTATGTTTTGCCAAGCTTTGCATAATAATGAAGCTAAAATGATAACTGTGACATGCCCAAAATCAAATCACAATGGTGCTATGGTGTGATGTTATAGCATGTATGAATTCCATTGACACATGACTTATGACTTACGTCATCAGCAGCCAAAAGTTCCAGAAATGTCTTTGGGATGTTTATTGTCCATATTTTTAACTTGTAGAACTTTGAAGTGACTGTGGTAGCTCAGTGGCCTTACTGACAAGGTTAAGTGACCTTGAATAGAAGGCATTTAATGCTTCAAATTGGGTTTGAAATCTTTTGGATTCATATGACCACAATTAAATCATGATAGGTGAGGACTTTAAACATGTGTTTGAAAGACCAGCTGGTGATATACAAAGCTGTGACCTGTGCTATTCCACAAAATTGTTTTGCGTTGAGTGTTTTATAGGGTGGCCTATCCTGGCTAGATGTAGACCTTGGCAACGTTCTGACCATTGTCCAAATTGAGCAATCCCTGCATTATTGATGTAATCTTTTTACTGAGGCAATGCTGAAAAACACAGAAACTGATTTGTAATGTTTTTGTCGTTGACACAATCAAAAATGCCTGTGCAAGGCCATTCCATACCAGCCCAGATGTCATGCCATTATTGTGTGCTCTTGCGATCAGTTGCCATTTGACTGTCATTCAGGGTCGGACGGGCACTTTATCTGACATGAAAGCCCACATGTTTGCCATGCAATGGTCAGATGTCTAGTTGCATTTTACCAACTGGACTATGAGGACAGCAGATGTGATGCAGGCATGTGGCATAGTTGTGAAATTTTCAGAATATTGCAGTGGTTGGATTCAACTTACTTGTGTGGTATTTAATTTACTAGGACTCACCTGCTTCTACACTTCCAGGTTATTAGGCCAGTGCTCTGACATTAGTCATCATGGAGGACCTGGAGGAAGTTTTGACAGAATTGACACGTAAGTTCTGTTGGGTGCATATTAGTGGTGTAAGCTCATTTTTCATGGGTGTAGGCGGAGCTCATTTAATGGGTGTATATGTCTATGTTTGGCCAATCAAGAAATCTGTCAGGGCTGCCTGCTCAGCCATGCATCAACTAGGTCACTAACTGAATATGACTTGGACAATCATGCAAACACTTGTGCACTCACAGCACCTTAGTAACACACATCACCCTCACTCAGCAACCTGTGAGATAACATGAGTTGCCCCTGGTCCAGGACACGCCCCCTCCACGGTCATTCTCTGACCCATGTGTTTGCCTGCCTGCTGACAGGGTTCCGGCCGGACCGGCAGCTGGAGATCCCGCACGTGCTGGAGCAGTACCTGAAGCATGTGGCACGCACTGGCGACTCGGTGTTCCCGTGGCCACAGGTGCGTCCGCTGCTGAAGCGCAAGCTGGACCTGATCGCCGGCGAGTTCTGCCAGCACAGCCCGCCCGAGAAGATCCCCGCCATGCCGAACGTGGACCCGTTCAAGTACGACCAGCTGCTGAAGGAGATACACTTCCGGATCGACTCGCTGGGCGGGTCAGTAGAGCGGGCTGCGCCGGTGCCGGCTGTGGCGGCAGTCCGCCGACGTCGGCTGGCTGGTGCAGTAGGCGGAGCGATTTTGGGCTGGCGTCGCGTATGAAAGGTTTCGTTTTCCTACGTGTCGCCGCCGGAAGCTTGCGTCTGCTCGGAGCTTGCAGTTTTTATCACGTTAACATAAAAGAACGTTTGCATTACTGTGTTTGACCACGTGGCTACACTGGCTGCTTGTAGATGATAACGTTCTATGCCAATCGTGGTCGGGCTGACCGCGTTCAATCGCTGTGCTGTGTTTCCTCTTGTTATCAGACGATGTTTTCCTCCCACCATGTTTCTCGAAATGCAGCGTACCAAATATTACCGAAGATTGTTAAGTACCAAACAACAACAATTAGCCAAGCATCGGGGAAAGAAGCGCCAGTTTTGAGGTTTTGAGCGGATCTGATGCCGGCACCGTGCCTGACCGTCAGTGTCTCGTCCGCACCAGCCGTCTGACTCCCTTTCCTCCTCTCACAGCACGCCGTTCACCATCCAGCGGCTGTGTGAATTAATGACAGAGCCGCAGCGCTACTACAAGCGCACCGACAAGTTCATGCGCGGTGTTGAGAAGAACGTGCTCGTGGTGACCACCATCGAAGCCACCAGGTGGGAGGCTACTGTTTCATCGTATCGCCCCCCTTATCGCCTTAACGTGCCCGGTCCCTGCATCTCTAACCGTGACGTCACATGTCAGCAAGTGACGTCATGCCCCATACACGTCGATACACGTCGGGCGGTAGACGCAGACATAACCTTTGCGCGTGGTCCTCTAAAATGCAAATGATTGAAATCAGGTAGCAGAACGTGAAGTGGGTGATTCGCATACAGCTTTTTGTTGAGAAGAATCAAAGGCACATTAATGCCGTATCTCCGCATTGACATCTTATATTTGCGTTTTAACTTCTTCGAGGGTGCTCTACTGCAGTTGGTGCGTTGTTGAATGGCCTCTTACCGATTTATTATATCTTATAGTTGACTTTTAGGCTGAGTGCTCTGAAGGTGTGGGTTGCTTGATGTCTTCCATGGTGGGCACGTTGTCCCGGCATTTTGTATGCCATTTGGTTGGTGTCAGAACACAATTGGGGAATATGTGGAAGGTTGTATTGATCTGCATATCATTAGCCGTTTTATTTCTGTCGGCCACGGGATGTAATGTTTTCCTTTGGAGAAGCAGAGAACTGTCTGCTTTGCCATGTTGGCAAACACCTCATTTGTAGTGAAGCGCCCTACAGCATGTGTTGTCAGTTGTCATTCTTATCGGTATTAATGCACATGTGACACTTGCATGCCCGTTTGATTTGTTCAGTACCTGGACTGTACACTCTTTTATGTAATTACACACTAAGTGCCGATAGTCAATGTCCTTCACTGTCCAACGCGTCCTTCGTCCCAATGTGTTTGCTGCGCCCGGCTCGATGCGCTTCCCACCGCCCCGCCGTGCACCGCTGATGATCCAGCAGCAGTGGTCCGCCGCGCGGTACGCCCCCGTCCTCCCGCCGCCGTGCCCCGCTGATGATCCAGCAGTGGTGGTCTGTGGCGCCGCGCGCCTGACAGTGGTCCGTCTGCCGCAGCCGGCGGCGGCCGGGAGCTGAGCCCCTGAATGGCGCCGGTCCCGAGCCCACGGGCCTGTCACGCGGCGCCGCCGCCGAGCCGCTGCCAACGGCCTCCACCTCGGCAGCCGGCCGGCCGCCTGAGCCCCGGGACGAGAGCGCCGCCGCCGACGGGGAGCGCGCCGAGCCGGCCGACGCCACCGTCGCCATGGAGACCAACGGCGCCGCCGAGGCCGAGCAGACGCCGCCGCCGCCGCCTCCACCGCCGCCGCCAGCCGGGCTCGGCACAGCGGGGGAGCCGGCAGATAGTGGTGAGCGGAGGAGGGCGGTCAGCCTGGTCATTGGTGGGCCCAGAGGAACGACGGATGCATCCAGAGGATAGTAGTTTAACTTCGGGTGTCACGTGCGGCAGTGCGGACGCTACCATTTTAAGTCATTATGGGATGCTCTCCCTAGTTGAGACGCGTCCATAGCATTAGAGGCTTATTGTTGTTTTTTGCCACAGAGTAATGTGATCACTTTTGGGGTGGTATAAAACGTGTTAAGCGCACAAGCGCACAATTAGTTTCCACTGCGGCCTGATCCAGCGGAGATGGAGAAAAATGGTGATTTGATATATTGTGCTTTTTCCCTCTTGACTTCTTTTTTGGTTGAAAGTCGGGGGCAGGGGCATCACGATTCCAACTTAAAGTAAGTTACAGTTTGCTGTATTGGCTCGCCATGCACGGCTGATATATTTACTCCCAATGGCGCCAAACTGGTTTGCATGGTGAATCGACGAACGCCATCGAACGCCGTTTCGACCTGCCCCGACCTGTTTCTCTCTGCCGATCAGTCGCCGCCAGGGCGGAAACACCGATGGAGGTGGAGCTGCCTCCGTCCGCCACCGACGTCCAGCAGGCTGCCGTGACGTCGCAACCGGCGGCTGTGACGTCACAGCCGGCGGCCGTGACGTCAGCGGGGGTGGCGCCGGAGCAGGCGGAGGGCGGCGGTAGCCCAGTGCCGGTGAACCTGACAGTGACGGAGGTAACTACGGTGACCACAGCCGTCCAGACCACACCCGAGGCTGGAGAGGCCGCGGACGAGACGGCCAAGGCGACGGCGGCCGCCGCAGCACGGACGGAGCCGCTGACGGAGCCGGCGCCGGCGGCGGACGCGGCCACCGTCGAGGTGAGCCGCCGGGTGCTACTCCGGGAACTGGAGGGAGGTGGGGCTCCGGTCGGGACGACGCTGCGTGTGCTTCTGTCGGGCCGTCTCTTGCCCGGGCTGTTGGTACGGGCTGGTGCGAGACGTTTGTGCCTGGTGGGGTGGTTGACAGGTGTTCGGTCAAGAGTGGAATGGAAGGAATTGAGCGACAAAAACTCGGCAGGGATAAACGTGGACTGAGATAAACTGGTGTTTTGTATATCCGAATTGACTATTATCCCTGTCGATTTTCTGTTTTTCAATTGTTCTGTTTCTTCTTTGAGCCCTGTCGACCTTTTCCTCTTTTTTACTTTTCTCCTCGACTTTTATCCCTTTCATCCTTTTGTTTTTCGACCTTTTTCGATTCGATTTTCATTCATTTCGACTTTTTGTCGTTCGGCTATTTTCGGTCGACTTTCGTCCTTTCGACTTTGCGTCTGGAAACCCGGTGCGCACGACCGTTTTTACATCGCTGGTGTGTGACCAGTGTCAGTGTGCGGTGTTGTGTCATTATTTTGGCCTCTGCACCCAGTGCACTGCTGTTCATCCAGCATTTTCTTTTGTGCATTGTACTCCGGGCTGATGGGGTCGTCACTCGCGTACTGACAATGCATGCTGTAATTAGCTGGAGACGTGCTAAAACCGAAGCAAAGCTCAACCGTTGCCCCCAGCGGACGGGTTTGTCGCCTCGCCAGACACTCACGGATCGGCTTCTGTCGCAGCCGGAGGAGCCGCAGTCGGCTGAGGTCGTGCCGGAAACGACCGCCCCGGCCGCGGACGACCTGGACTCGTCCAACATGAGCCTGGACGACAGCTTGTGCGGCAGTGACGCCGCGTCGAGCCCGCCGCCGCCGCCGCCGGACGCGGCCGCCCCCGCCGCGGACGAGTCCACCGCAGACGCGCCTCCCGAGTGAAGAGGAGACTCGCGCCTCGGCCGTTCATCAATCACCTCATCCTCGCGAGCCGAGGCCGGGCTTGGCGCCGGCCCCGGGCCCATAGCTAATGTGTAGGTGTGTAGAGGCGCGTGGACTGCCAGCCAGCGGCGGGGTATGTGGGGGGGGGGGGGGGGATAGGGAGGGACTGGACCCCGGTTGTCGTCACGGCATCCTGTTCTCAGACGCGACCGGTGGGGTATTCCCAGCCGACCTCACGCCTGGCGCGGCTTACTGTGCGGCGCCTGACCGCCCTGGCGTCGGCCCAGAACCTGCGGAGAGCTGCCTGCTGGCCTGCAGAGGTGGTGTCGGGGTGGCGACGGGCGACACCGCGGAGGTCGGCAGGTGACCCCGGGACGGACTTCGATCACAAAGCGTCCACTTGGGCGGGGAGGGGGTCTCACTTAACATCGTCAGCTGCATGGCCCTCCGCGTCATCGTCCAACAATGCCATCACCCATCGGCGACCGCGACCGCCAGCAGTGTAAGGTGGCACCGCGGCCCGGCGCCGAGCCGCCGCAGCTGTGACCTCTGTCCTCACCCGTCATGGCCGCTGCGCGTTCCCACCGGGGACCCGCGACAGCTGACCGCAGCTGGCCCCTCAGGGGGGCGCCACAGCATATCCTCGCACGAGCCCATTGTCACTGTCGCGTGGCGTCGCGAGGGGGCTGTGGTACAGGCGATCATTGCAGTCCGTCTTGTGCCAACCCCCCCGTGACCTAGCCATGTCAAGCGTGCCGACGTTCACTGGCGGACGACTTTGAAGCTGTCCAGGCAGGGGTGCCTCTGCAGAACCCTCTTGACCACGCGCTGGCGAAATCACAGTACAAATGGCTGCCGGGAGGGCCGGCCGCAGCTCTGGGCCCCTTGCTGGGGCGTGGGTAGTACCCACGCCCTCCGACGATCGTCTGGTCTCCGTCTCGGCGGCGCTTTTCGGCCACAGCAGGCTGGTGCATGCAGGGCCGGCGCTGGTTTTAAAACGGCGCGCGAAACCGTCGTATTTTTTATAATTTTGGTCAATTGTGCGTTCGAAGGGCTGGAAACAACAGGTGGCGTCGTGCCGAACAAGAAATTTAGGTTGAGTTTGAAAAGATTGATGACTTGTATGTTCAGTTATTTAGGACTGCGAACGTGACCCAATCCTGGTTTCTTGGGGTATGGCTACGATTGTCACCTGTTAGCATAGCGCTCTTCCAGTGGCGTGCACTTGCGTCGTTGTGCGGTGCGTGCAGCGACAGGTCGCAGCGACCTGAAGCGACCATACATACCGTCTTGGCTGGGAAATGCTCACGAGCTTTCCGTGGCCTTCTCTGTGCACGCTTCTATTTCTCAATGATTTTATGAACCTAGAAAATATTCCTCTGTTGCCGACGACTGCGATTTGTACGTGATTTGCCCGTGTCAGTAATAAATATTTAATACCAGTCACCTGTTCCGTTATTTGTCATTTAGATATTAATCATTACTAATCGGATGAGAGGTAGCTGTAGCATCGCGGGGGGGATGTAGCGAAGGGGGCGCGGAGGACACGCTCCTCCCTCTCCACCCCTGAACGACGGGGTTTTCACCGGTCCTAGAGCCAATCAGGAGCCGTGAAAATCACACCGGCGCCCTAAAGCCAGGGTCTGCTAACAGCTGCGCTGAGCTCGTGTTCTTTACCGGCGAATGATGTAGCACTGGGCAATACGTAAACATTAAGCAGCCAATGCGGCTGGGTCGCGACGTTCGCGGAGGCTCCGCGTAATCTACCGTGACATTCCCAACAATTTCACAACGGTTTTAGCAGGGGCATAGGGTGGGGGATCGCGGTGCCGATTACGGGCCCTTGAGTTGCAAAGCTGGTCGTGATTTGGATCTTATGTTAGGTTTATATGGTCAGAAAAGCACTTGAAGCGCGGCACACCACATTGTGCCAAGCAGCAACTGGAAGGTAGCTGAGAGGTTACGAAGAGTGGGCGCTAGAGGTATGTTGGTCTTACCATGGCAGACTTGCGAGTTGTGTTTGTATAAATCCTAGGATATATATATATATATATATATATATATATATGTATACATACACATGCCAAGTGGACCTCAGTTGAACGGTTCAAGTCTAGGCTTGATATGCACTGGGCTGACATGTATGACAGCCCACACTGAATTTTTTCCATAATATGAGACTGTTTGGTTACTGTACTGGGAGCCTGACGAGACTGGGACCTACGGGCCCAGTGGCCTTTTCTAATTCTTGATCACCATGAGTTAAGGTAAGTTATAGTTACATACATATATAACACTTAGCTCAGCATGTTGATGTCAATGTCACAAAAGGACTTGTGACTTGTGCACTTGCAGGATTGGTGACTTTTGGACTTGAATTGTTGATTGGATGTATTTTTGGCAGACTGGCTAGCACACTCAAGGGTTGGGTATTTTTGGAAATGCCTGCAGCACCTCGCTCCAGCCAGGAGCACATCCATCCATCACCCTGAAAGCCTGAGTGACTGATGTGCCGAACCTGGTGCATGTGTGTGCTGGACTCAGGGTAGTTGACAGTGCTGGTTGAAGATTAGTTTTGTGTTCAAATGTTTTGTATTCTTCATCACAAAAACATTATAAACTGAAAATCTAGATCCCATAAATGGTTTGAGCATGCATATAGGTTTGTGATAAGATCATTCGAAAGCTTGTGAGCATCTCTGCCATTTCCTTCAGGTGTTAGAAAAACTGAGGGAGCAATTTTGTCCTTTGTTTAAATAAGTTCATTTGAGGGCTTGTGAGCATCTTCATCATCTGCTTCAGTTGCTAAAAAAACTGAGTAAGCAATTTTGTCCCTGATTAAAAACTATATCAATAGCAGGTCAGGTGCCAACATGATGAGGTATATTTAGCACTGGGAAACCAGTGTCCAAAGTGCAAAAAGACATGTGATGCCAAATATGTACACAACCTGTGGTGGAGTTGTGTGAAAAAGCTGACATATATGCAATGAATTGTTAATGTTCTGTGTGCAGGGAGGTCCTACAACTAATGTTAGTTGATTAAAACACAATATTTAAATGAATTATAATTCATGGGATGGGACACCAAGTGGGTACCCGTGATTTGACCACAGTACTCTTCCCATGTGCCAAAACTCACGAAACATCAACAATTTTAGCATCTGCAAATGACAAGACAATGCAATGTTCTAAAAGCATTATTCATGCCTGATGTCAAACCAGCACTAGTCAAACAAATTCATTAGATGTTGAATTATTTCTTTGGAGCAACATCACCCATAAATCACACAGACAAGAAACGTGATACTGATAAAGCACACTGAGATTGGGTCATCAGTACACAGCATTGTTATTTGTTATAGTGATTATGTATCTCACAGTGTGTGATGTTAGCAATGTCTCTTGCACTGCTGGTGAATCATGTATTTTTCCAGGCTGAAGCAGCATTGAGTGTTAAGCCATAATGAGTTTGTTGTTTGTATGCTGGTGTGGTACATTCTGATTTTTGGATGGGTCAGTTGCTGCCATGAGATGAAGAGCTGGATATCACTTGGCGAGGGAGGTAGCGTGTGTCAGAAAGGTTTAAGCACAACTTTATATGCAGGTTACACATGCCTCTTGGCAACCCAATTTGTAATTGAACATGATGTGTGAAGCAATGTTTAAAGATCCAACAATTTATGCATAATTTGTCCCTAACCCAAAATGTTGTTTGCTTCGATTGTCTATGTGGAAGTGAAAATCTTTTGCCACGCACATGTGCGCACACACACACACACATGCACACACAGGCAAGGCACAGACATGTACACATACATGTACACACACACATGTATGTATATATATATATATATATATATATATATATATATATATATATATATATAAAACCCAGTGTGGTTGGCAACAAAGAGACCATGGTACATCTTTGTGGTCGATGCCATATACTGTGTTGTGTCCCTGCAACATGTAATAGCTAGTCTGTGTTGCTTGATCGACCAGAGTAAGCTTGGAAGACTAGTTGGCCATCTTTCTTAATAAATTCATGAGTTGTGGTTGTCCTGTCCAGTTGATTATAAACTATTGAACCACTTAGTAAGTCTTTGTCTGTGATATGCTGCTCCAAATGATTTAGTGGTTCATTGTCCAGTGATTGCCTAGCTGCAAGTGCCAGACAATGGATGAGCATGTGACTTACTTAGTAATTACTATGCATTCCTCTGCCTAGCAAAATATTGAATGTCAGTGTCCTTAAGTGGTTTGCTGGCAACAAATGCTGATTTAACCCACACTGATTGCCTGCATGCTCTGACATCACGGTGCCCCTGCTGGCAGCGATGCCCACCAACAAGGAGGAATCTGACGGCGAGATGGAGCAAGAGGAAAGCAGTGGCAGTGACTCCGGCTCGTCGCACGGCTCCGACACTGACACGTCCGACCTCGACCTAGACCAGTGCCTGGTGCGCAAGGATGAGTGCCTTGACCACCTGTACGAGCTGGAGCAACAGTTCGCCGCCATGAAGGAGCAGCTATTCTCGGAGAAGCTGGCGCTGCTGGATGACCGGCTGACGGCAGTGCGCGCCGGCACGGCGGTCGAGTTCCTGACGCCGTTGCGCCAGCTGGAGGAGGCGCACCGCACGCGCCAGGAGGTGACGCTCCTGCTGAAACGTTACCGGCTGGCCAACGCCCAGCACCGCTACGACTCGGAGATGCTGGCTGCTGAGCAAAACTGGCGCAGCAGCAAGGGCATGCTGTACGACCAGGTGCGCCAGGAGCTGGAGGAGCGCGCGCGCCGCCTGGAGGAGGACCGCCGCCACGTGGACATTGCCTCTGACCTGTGGGTAGAAGAGCGCGCGCGCCGGCGCGGTCGGCGTGCCAGCCAGGCGGACGACGGCAGCCGCAAGAAGCGCCCCGTCACGGTCACCGGGCCCTACATCGTCTACATGCTCTCCGACAGCGACGTGCTGGAGGACTGGGCGGCCATCAAGAAGGCGCTCACCGTCACCAAGCGAAAGGCGGACGTCAAGATACTGCGTGACGTGAACGCCCTCTGGGGCTGCTGAGTGTTGGTGTGACGTCACACGGCGTCGGCCGCGTCCTGGCCGTCCGGCCCGCGGATGTGTGGCAGGTTCTGGAGCTCGTAATCTGTTCGGTGGCCGCTTGGTTCAGGGCCGGGCGGCGGCATGCGCTCTGTGAGGTCATACCGCTCCGGCTCCGGTGATCGGGCGGGCGCTGTCGGAGCTGTGGAGGCCTGCGGTGGAAGTCTGTCTTGTCCCTGACGCTCAGGCGCCTGCGCGGGCTCCCGTGTCGTTCCCCTTTCCGGTGATTTTTGGAGAGCTCGGGCGCTGCGGATGTCAGTCGGCGCTGGGCGGGGCCGGTAGGGGTGCTGAGTGGGCGCCTCGGAGCTCAGTGCGTGCGTGTTGACCCGGTTCGAGGGCGGTCCCCGCCGACGCAGTGTGATGGGTGATGCTGACTCCCAGTCCTGTGGGGGTTCGGTGATAGTGCTACATGTAGATCAGTTTGTGTGGGACTCAACGTGATCGGAGTTCGGCTTCCTTTTGTTTTTCCTCATTGTACTGCTGCTTTTGCGATACAAGTTGTGTTCGTATGTACGTTTGTCTGTGGGGCCCGAGTCAACGTGAGCAGCGTTTTTTAATATATCGCTAATGCACCAGTGTCGTTTGTTGTCGTTTAATGAGTGGACTCTGGGCGAGCACTGAATAATAATGGCCATCAAATGTTCAAATATGACATCGGGCGCTGCCTTGGATGTGTCCGTAGCCCCTGCCCCACCGCCACGCCAACACACCAGCATACCACACAGTACAGCACCACAACACGGCAGAATGCAACACACCTCACATCACAATACATTACAACTCACATCAAAGTACACCACATCACACACACACGGCGGAATGGTGGGGGAAAAAGGGGTGAATAACAGCGAGCGACCAAAGGAAGGTCCGTCAGGGCTTATATGCGTTGTATGTAGGCGACCACGTATCGATTTGGTGCTCGCATTTGTGTATTTTGAGCGACAAAGCAAAGATAAGTAGCAGTGTTGGCGAGATCTTCCGCCAGTGATAAAACGGGTGCATACGACGAAATTCTAGCTGTGAAGGAACGGCGCAAGTTCTCAGCAGGGGCGCAACCAGGATTATTTTTGCAAGTAAGGTGAGTGCGCATCTCGATGAGCACCTGTCACACCAAGTTTTAATTTTCTGCTTGAGCCACTTAGGGTGAAAAATCAGCGGTCAGACAGCTCTTCTCTCCAGGCTGCGCCTGGAGAGAAAAGTTGCCACAAAGTTGTCTCATTTCACAAAATTGAACGGCGAGGATGGATGCGTCCGCGTTGCATTGGCATTGTGCCGGCTGAACTTGCTCGTACGAACATGTATGAAAACTGATCAAGCGCCTAGTCGTGTTGCTAAGCGGACCGCATAGAGATGCTCGTCCCATATCTGTATGTACATTCTCGATGGTCCCGCCGGGAGTGGTAGGGACGAAGTGACTGTTCTGTCAACAGAGTATGTGTCCTGCTCGGTTGGGGAAGGGGGCCTTCCTAGTTCCCAACTTGGGCTATAGCCTCCTCCTCCGAATCTTGAGAGAAAAGTGGGTCAAACCAGAAGGAAACCGTTTGTTGGCGTATAGTTGGGGACGCCTGGGTCTTCTTTCACCGTGCAGCCCCGCTCTTCAAACTCATTTCGCAAAACTACTCCTTGGCTGTGATTGCTAACAAACAAGCAAAGCCAAGTTCAGCGCAGCTGAATATGCCACTGCATTTTATATATGATAATTTCTTGCATCATGAAGTACTACCGTGCAATGGCGTTCGAGCGCAACAAATTCACATGCCTCTGGCCGAACCAGCAGGGACCACACGTACGTCATACATCGACGTTCATTGGTAGTTCCAGAGCCAATGAAAACAAACCTGCCCAAAGCCGGACAGGTTTCATTTTACACCGTAACAGCATACCCTGTATTTGCCCATCCTTGGCCAGAGGCAACTAACCGCTCATTCAACCGCTCGCATTCGAAGGCAGGGGACGGGGCTGTGCTGCGTGGCCGGGAGGGCCGTTCGTGACGAGGGGTACGCTGTGAGGGTGTAAACAACGCTCGGCCCTTGAGCCTGTAGTCGTGGTGAGTTCGAATACCTGTGTTGACGCTGCTTACTATTCAGAAGGGACGTGGAAGTGGGCCATTATATGCTGGGAGCTGTACATTACGGCTGTTTGGGTGCTCGCGTGGGTCCTGGCATTGAGCACATTCAGGTGGAAATGCAGGTTGTGATGTGTCAAAAATGCGTTTCCACTGATTTAGTGTGAGCTATGCATTGTTGGTGTTCTTGCTATAAGTATGACTAATAATTTGTTATGCCCACTATCATAGATTTAAACATGTTTACAAATGATGTTGGTCATTCCAAAATTGGGAGTGAAATTTATGAATAATTTCAAAAAAGGACAAATAATAGCTGGTGAAACTAAGATTTCAGCTTCATGCTTGCAAGAAGCATGTTGGATGACTGTTCACTATTGGTGCTGGTTGGAACAATGATGCAGCTGCTATGCATTGTCATATTCATAGGGAACTTTTTGAGTGCAGATGGGATGGAAGCCATGTGTTGGATCACTCTAGGAATGGTAGTATGTTTGCTGAGTACCCAGTGTTACAATGTGTGTTTTCAAGAAGGGTGTACTTCTGAAGATTTTCTGGAGCTCATTTCAAATGTGTGCAGCATTAATACAGTCAAATTCTAGATAAAAAACTGTGCATTCAACACCTCTGAATCCCTTAAATTCTAGAGTACTTCGGCAGATGCATCATAAACACGCCCACCAAGTATGCACTCAGAGTCCACCTCTCCAACCTCATTCTGTGCCCACGACTACCATGCTGCAACAGAGCTGACCCAGCCTGTGCCTCTGCTCCACAGTGTGAGGGCAGGTGTCGCACCCCTGGCACCAGCTGACAGACTTCACCCAGGTGGACCACCCAGTGGCCTGGTCACCCCCTGGCACTCACTCACTCCTCTGGCACGGACCTGAGGCAGAGTGACCATTTGTGCCACCTGCCATCATGTCACTGCACAGCGATGACAATGCTCTGGCTCCGAGCTCCGACTCCTTCTGGGAGCCCGGCAACTACAAGCGCACCACCAAGCGCACAGAGGATGGTCACAAGCTCTGTGACGACCTGATGAAGCTGGTGCTCGAGCGGTCCGAGATCGAGAAGTCCTATGCCAAGAGCCTGAAGGCCTGGAGCAAAAGGTGGAACGATCTCATCGAAAAAGGTCAGTGGCTGCCGTTGTGGAATGTCCTCATGCGGATCAGTGTTTGCAGTGTAAGTACATGCCCGCGTGCGCAGCGTGAACAAGCTGTCCTGGCACATGGGCGAGCGATGACTGCAGACGTCACCTCTAAACATGCACATTGCCGTCGGCTGGCAGCAATTCCACACGCATTCGTTTGCAGTAAGAAGAGAACAGCTTGAGAGATGGCTCAGTTTGATTGTGATCTCGGATCACGAGAGCCCCTCTCCTTCGATGACGGTGCCCTTGCCTGGCCGACAGGTCCCGAGTACGGCACCGCCGAGGCCGCCTGGAAGGCGTCGCTCGTCGAGGCCGAGCGGCGCTGCGAGCTGCACCTCAAGGTGCGCGACAACCTGATGAACGAGGTGCACTCGCGCATCCGGCAGTGGCAGAAGGAGAACTTCCACAAGGTGAGCGGCCGCGCTGTGCGTGCGCCGTGGCGTGACGTCGCGTGGGGCTTGAGGCCGGGCGGGCCGGACGCACAGGGATAGCGCTGTGGCGGAGGGGATGCCGGCGAGTGTGCTCGGCAGTCCGCTCTTGCGACAGTCCCCCCCCCCCCCCCCTCCGGCCTCCCGGAGCGGAGGCCGAGGTCGGCTGGGAGCCACCCGGCCGTGTCCCTGCTGTGTATGGCCGGTGTCGGACACCGGACGGCGTTCAGAAGCGAGCCACGCTCGGCACCCGGCGGACGTGCTGACAGGAGGGCGTGCCTTCAGTCTGGAGCGAGGTGCGCGCCGGATGGAACCTGTTCCGGCGAGCTGGGACGGACCGGAGCCGGGTCCGCACAGCGAGCCCCCCGCCTCCGCACGGCTGGGCCGCGGAGCGCCGGACAGCACGGCCCAGCTGGATCTGCCCCGCCCTCCTGTGTTCCGTAGCGCCCGGGTGGCCGGCTGAATTCCATTCGCTCCGGTAGGGGCCAATTTGACTCCCCTGAGATCTCTAAAACTAAGATAGCTAGAAACACCAAATCCGCAGTGTAGCTTGAACTGCACGCGAACTCACTTGTTTCAAAATTTGAAATTCCTCGATCGGGATTTTGAGGTCAAGTAAGACCAAACAGGGTCAAAGTCCAGATTGGTGTCTTAAGTGCCCAGAGCTCCTCATGCAACCACCGTGCAGCTAGATGCCTTTTCTAAGCAAAAGTCCATGAGGTCAGTGATCTTGTTTGACCTTTACAAGGTCAAGGTGACCAAATACCTACGAGATTGTACCGATTTCGTCATTCGAATTGGCGCCCGGGATTACGCTAGGGGTATATTCATAAAATCAAGATTTTGACCTAGGTCATTTTAGGTAAGTGACATACCTTGGTCTGTAAGAAGTACGTGGAAAAGTCTGTTGCGGTCCCTGTCATTAACAATTCGAAATGAGCACCAGAAACTGCCTTATAACACTAAGCTCACGAGTAAAAAAGCAGGTTAGTTGTGATCTCGTTCTGATCTTCATGTCTGACCCTGGGTCAATTGGATGGGATGTAATTCTAAATTGAATTGATTTATTGCCTGCGAAACTATCAGATATGTATGGCTTCATCTAACACTCCGTTGTTGCATCACATTGCACGATACCCCGGTAATTCCTTACGCTGGTAACGAAGGCCTGCCATACGTCAGCGATTTTACAAAGAGCATCCATTTGCACATGAAAAGATCCGCTTTTCAATTCTCTACGTATGTGTATAGTTTGACGCGGCTACGCCGCGCTGTTCGGCAATCATTCTGGAAAAACACTTTCGGAGTGTCAATCTGGCCCCACCCCCACCCGAGTGCGTGTTAGCGCATAAGCTAGATAGCGTAGATAGTGCAGGGAGCGAACTTTAAATAGAGCACACATTCCGTCGGCCCCGGCCGTGCCTATCGCCGTGGCCCTGGCCGGGCCGCAGCTAACGCGCTGCAGCGGCGATGAGCGGTGTGTCGCCGTCTCCGGCCGGCTATCGCGCCCGCTCGTGTGTGTGCACAGGCGTCAACGAGCCCGAGTGTCTCGGCCGTGACGGCGGGTATCGCGCTCCAGATAGTGCCGCCCTCCCCACTCCCACCCCCCGCCGCACTCTGCCCCGCCCCGCCCTTCCCCGTCTCGCCTAGCGCCGCCCCGCCCCGCCCCGCCCCGCGGCACCCGGTCCCGCTCGGCGCCGATACGGGCCATATACGTGCCGCTTTATATAGGGGCTAGCTGATCCCCCGTCTTGACCTCGACCCGCAAGGTCGCTCCTGGTCCAAGATGTGCCCTCGGGCATGTGGTATGTGCCACGCCCAGGTGCGAGCGCTCCGGTGCACGCGGTGTTGACCTCTCAGTCGCCGGAGATGACGTTTTTTATCAGGCACGTCTACGCGACGTAGCGCGGACCTAGAGGGGGTGTTTCCTCGCGCGTCTCTACACATGGTGTTGACTCCTGTAGTGAGACTGCGATTCCACGCGACCGCCCCTCCTCCCTCATTCGCCGTTTGTCATGCACACCTGGAACTGCGTGGTTATGCGGGGCAAGCTGCATGCATCAGCCATGAGCGGGCTTGGGTCACCCCTCCCCCTTCCGGCGGGAGTCCCGTCGTCCGTTCTACACAGCATGAAGAGAGCTCCCTGTGCGGGCGGGTCTGGGTAGCGGAGACTCTTGGGTGCGCGGAGTCCTCGGGCGGGGCCGGAGCCTCACGGCCACCGGGCTCGCCGCGTGACGCGGTCTCCCCCGCTGACAGACATTCACTGCTGCCCCGCGGCCCGTCGGGCTGGTGCCTCGAGCAGGTGTCCCAGCTGGCCGGAGAGCGAAGCTCGTCAGGGGACTCACTGCTGGTGACTGGTTGGAGCGTGTGAAACAAAAGCCAACCTCTTGGCTCCGAGACAAGCAGTGACCGAGGTTTCACCGCTTGCTAGGGACTGGACAGATGCAGGACTCGTACCCCAGCGGCTCTGCGCACCAGTCCCAGAACGGGGGCATTCGCCGGCCGCCCGCAGTAACAGGGTCAGCTGGCAACTGGCTGAACGGGTGAAGCTGTCGTGAGACGACCGTGTCGCAGCATGGCATGCCCAGCACGTATAACCCGGCGTGATGCTGTCTGGCACGAGACTGGAGGCAGCATTATCCGATGACCTGGAACGGCATAACTCCGGAGTGGTCGGCTTCGGGCACTGACGTTCTCTGCTTCTCAAGCGGTCCCAGTCGAATGCCATCGGCGCCAACCATTCGAAGAATACTTCTTTAAAAAATCGTGTTTATATGAATGTCTTTCATTTCATCGAATATAACATTCCGATCAAGATAAAGGGACTGTTGGGTCAAGAGTGGGTCCCGGTCCCATCAGTAGAGTTCGTATCACCTCTCTCTCCCCCATTCCCCTCCCAGCTCGCGAGCTCGTTGGGTCACGTGATTAACGTGGTCGGTGCCCGGGGCGCTGTCGCCGACAGGCTGCTGCGAGGCGCCAGGCGGTGTTTTACGGTAGGCTCTGTGCCTCTGCCGTGTGCTGCCTGTCCGTAGTGTTTTACGGTAGGCTCTGTGCCTCTGCCGTGTGCTGCCTGTCCGTAGTGTTTTACGGTAGGCCTCTGTGCCTCTGTCGTGTGCTGCCTGTCCGCAGCGTTGCGTTTGCGATCTGCCGGGCGGTGAAGCCGGGATCTCGAGCACTGGACACGCTGGCGAGCCGTCTGGCTCTGTGGAGGCCGTGGCAGCGGCGGTACTCACTAACTAAAGCCGCGTTGTGTTTTCGCTCGGCGTGCTGTGGCGTCGGTGGTAGCCAGGCCCATGAGTGTAACCACGTCCCTGAGGCTGAGGGGCGAACTGCGGCAGGACGGGCAGAGGTGGGAGCTGGGGGATAACGCAACATAAAGTGGCATCTTAAATTGGAACACGTAGAAACGTGCTTTAAAAACCTGACAAGAAACATGTTCACTCAGCCCCCCCCCCCCCCCCCCTGTGACCACGCCAACCTCGCTGTGACGGTACCCACGGTACCTGCGCTGTCTACAGTGCAGCACCAGTACGTGCACCACTGCGCTGCCCCCCCCCCCCCCCCCCCTCTGCGCTGCGGCTTATCATGGCTGTCGACACCGCCGGCTTGGTTGATAGATGATCGGTAGCGGTAGCGAGGTGAATGACACGCCTCTGTATGCGTAACATGGCTTTTATGTGGGACGTCGCCGAAGCATGCTTGTTGCAAGGCAGGCGCGAGCACGCTGAGCCTGATTCGAAAACCGATCACTTTACCGTCACTGATTAATGTGTAAGCTTCGGTAGTCGCAGCCTCCTAGTATTGTTTCAGCAAGGCATCAAACATAGACATAGGGTGCTTATTCCAGGCCTGACAAAAGACCTGACTCATGATCCCAGTATTCTTTCAGAACCCCTTTGCATGATGGAAAAGCTCGACAAAGTTCGACATTGGCTATGTTCATTGTCACTCAGAACTCAGTGTGCCCTTTTGATCAAGTTGTGGTATTTAATCTATTGCCACCATTTGATGCAGCTGCGCGACGCAGGAAGCGCCTGCGAACACATGATATGCGGAGCGAACACTTTTGTCTTGAAGCAATTGATAAAAGCTGCCTTAATCCGGAATGTTCGCGGTATTTCTATGCTCGTTGGTCCTGCGTGGAAACTTAAGTGTGCAGTGCCAACCGTTCGATGGCTAGTTCGCTGTGAATAATTTCCAACACTCAAGCATGTGATCCCCTGTCATCTACACAAGGTGACGGATCCCAGCGTCTGCGTGCTGCACAATGGCACGGCCTTCCGTGAAACGAATCGACCGACGTGAATCCACTCGGCAAATCACTGCGTTTTGTTGTGACCAGCGCTCGCTTTCTGAATGTTGAGCCTGTGGTTAGATGAGGCTGGGCATCTGTGAGATAAACTCGGGTCAAACAAGTCGAGCCGTCGACGATTGGGGAGATCCGACCAGGAACATGTGGGTGACGCCCCAGCCACAGCCGTGATGGCCGCCCGGCCACCTGAGAATGTGGACAGTCGGCGGCTCGCCGTTACCGCACGCGATGCGGGAAAGATGCAGGTCGCTTTTACTCGAAGTAAGCGAGATTACCTCTGAGATTGAGATGGAAATGCGGTCGTTTTCCACCAATGGTGCCGCGTGAAGGTGGCTACTAAAGCGTCGAATGCCTTGTCACGTTATGTTTGTGAATCTACCGTGGCAGGTTTGTTGTTTAATTCTCAGGGTCACGAGTGCATGACGCCGCATATTTTTCTGCTCATCGCCGCCAGAGCATGTCAGACTATGACGAATGTGCTAGATTTGACACGTGACTGAAAGCGCTGTCAGACGTCGTTACGTCTTTAATATTCCACCAAACACGCTACAGTACAAGAAGGCCCACGCTGTGGAAGGGTCAGCTACGTGTTACCCCCCTCGGCCGCTGTATGTTCAGCGCGCGCTGGCAGCAGCGGCGGCGGCCCCCTGAAGACCGCTCCTGCGCCGTA